ACTCGCAAGCAAAGCACACAAGCAAGCAAAGCACACAAGCAAGCAAGCAAGCAAGCAAGCAAGCAAGCAAGCGAGCAAGCAAGCAAGCAAGCAAGCAAGTAAGCAAGCAAGCAAGCAAAGCACACTAGCTAGCAAGCAAGCAAGCAAGCATGCAAGCAAGCAAGCAAGCAAGCAAGCAAGCGAGCAAGCACGCAAGCAAAAAGCACGCAAACAAACAAATAAACAAGCAAGCAACAATCAATCAAGGAAACAAGCTAGCACTTGCGAAGCAAGCAGCCAAGCGAGCAAAACCGTAGGCACGCAACCACACAGGCAAACAAGCAAACAAGCAAACAAGCCAGCATGCACAAAAGCAGGCAAGCACGTTGAAAAAAAACAAGAAACAAGCAAGCACACTCGCAAGCAAAGCACACAAGCAAGCAAAGCACACAAGCAAGCAAGCAAGCAAGCAAGCAAGCAAGCAAGCGAGCAAGCAAGCAAGCAAGCAAGCAAGTAAGCAAGCAAGCAAGCAAAGCACACTAGCTAGCAAGCAAGCAAGCAAGCATGCAAGCAAGCAAGCAAGCAAGCAAGCAAGCGAGCAAGCACGCAAGCAAAAAGCACGCAAACAAACAAATAAACAAGCAAGCACGCAAGCAAGCAAGCAAGCAAGCCAGCGCAAGCAAGCGAGCGAGCGAGCAAGCAAACAAGCGAGCAGGAGAAAGCAGGCGTGGAGGCAAACAAGCACGTAAACAAACAAGCAAGCCCAAGCAAGCACGCAAGCAAACAAGCACGTAAACAAACAAGCGCAGGCAAGCACGCACGCGAGCAAACAAGCACGTAAACAAACAAGCAAGCCCAAGCAAGCACGCAAGCAAACAAGCACGTAAACAAACAAGCAAGCCCAAGCAAGCAAGCAAAGTAAACAAACAAACAAACAAACAAATCAACAAACAAGCAAGCTAACGAGGGCGAAACCAATCAGACACACAAACACACGGCCAGCCTTCGGCATGGCCAGTTGTCCGCAAAACACTCTTGGCTGAGACCAAATCAGTTTGTGGCTATTCAACTCCTGGTTTCGAGAAATTCTCGTCCACTGATCCGCTTGTGTCTGTCAACAACCAGCTGTGAGCCAGAGCCTGCCGCGGCAACCGCTGCGCTAGCAACTCCAAACGCCATGCGTCCCAAACGCCAAACGAATGATCGATGCAAAGGGAGGAAAAGTTGCATCCGCACAGTGCAGCTTCACATGCTCAGAGGGCACTAGCAGAACTGCATCCTGCATCCTTTGCCGCTCTGTCCCAAGAAAAAGCGCGTTTCCTTTGCGCCAATGATGGCTCGTGAGCATTGCGCCGAGAGGTTTCTGTGGAATCCCATCCCTCTGAGAAACAAAACCAATAACGTGGCATGCCAAGCAAAGCCACGCGCTTTAGCCATGATTCTTTGAAGCTGTGAGAGATTGAGAGGCCCGCAAAAAGCTACCCGCTCCCCTTTTTTTTGGTCCAACGGCACACGACCCCCTATCAGTGACTCAAATATAATCCAGGAATCAAGCGCGCTCTCTCGCGCTTGTGCTTCTCAGCCATTGGGCGCTCGGCAGGAACGGTTGGCTTGACCCAGCCACGCTTGCCTACGATGGTCCGACCGGCTTGGCTACCAAACCGATCTCCCCGTGACATGAAAAGTGTAGGGCCCCCTTCAAGAAGTCCAGAACGCACGAGGTTTCCAGACCATGCCACCGCGCCGACAAGTGCGAACGAAATGAGGGGCACAGCTGGTTTGATCTCGAGGCCCACCCCTGTATGCACGCAAGGGTGGTTTATCCACAAGGTTTCTGGAGGAAACTTCACACGCCTAAAAGGACAGAAAATCAAAAACCTAGCAGCCGATGCAGTCTCTGCACGCGTCCAGGATTCGGCTTCGCTGCTTTACATGCTTGCATCCCGAGCGATGGAATTTCTTGCCGGTCGGCGTGATCACGACTTGGCGAGGTGCCCGAGTGATAACTCCCTGTCTTTCCAGGGTCTGGCATCTTCCTTTCAGGAAGACATTCTCACTCTTCACATTGTCCAGCTCCCATCGTTCGGTCTGCGTCTCCATCTCTCGCATGCTCTTCTTCTCTGCCTTGACGAGCTTCATCACCAAAATGGTGACAAACACACTCGTCATAACCACCACCATGATGCCACCGTAGATGACAAACCAGTCGAAGTCATCGTCGTCCTCCGCTGGCTTTCCTTCTGCACACTTTGGCGCATTGGCCATGATCATGGCCTTCACATAGTTCGCCACCGCGCTTCCGCGCACCACCTGGCTTTGCTGATTTTCGCCTCTGTGAAGGTCTCGTCAAAGACCAGCTGAATGTAGCCACCGCCCAGCGCATCGACCAGTGACTGCCTTGCTGACAGCTTTGTCAGCCCATCCGCCAGCTGTCTCTCTCAGCTCACCCGCCTGATCTCGCTGCCGGTGAACTCAAGCGCCTCCTTAATGCGCAGGATTTCCACAGCCGCCCGCTTGTCCACAGCGTTCTTGATCGTGTCCCGCTTGGTCGCGTCGTATAACGCCCGAGCATCAATCACCACCGCACTCTGACCCGCCTTCTTCACCGTCTTGCCAGATCTGAGATCTTGGTCAGGATCGAGCATGAGGGAGTAGAAGAGCTTGGTGATCATCAGCTCGTCCGTTGCTGTCGCACATGCTTGGGTTTCTGTGGAAAGCGAGCTCCGGCACACCCTGTCCAGCTTGAATGACCTCCATGCCAGAGTTGTGTAATCTCCTCCCCCAATTAATGAATGACCCCCATTAGTAATAAATGCAAATCCGGGGCCCGAGACCAGATTTCCACTCCGCACAATTGATTTTTAATTGAGTCTTGGAATCCTTATTAGGGGGCACTTTTAACAAGCTTCCAGCCCGACTTTTAAGCTGCGACTGTCTCTCCCCCATACATGCTGGCTAACCTGCCTGGCTGCCAACAAACAACCAGTAAACTGAAAAACAAATAGAATGATACATGAAATTTCCTTATTAAACCGCTTACTCGCGGACCTTACAATTCAATCCATTTCCTCCAAATCCTATGCGAACCCTCACATTGTTGGAAAAGCAAAAAAACCAAACCCCGAAAACCCCAATTTAAAAAAATATCTATTTTTTGGAGGATTTATTTATAATAGGGGGGGGGGGGGGGGCGTTTTTATTAATAGGGGGAAGAGATTACCGCATGCACTCACCCTCCAGCAACTTCTTGTTTGCCGCCACCAGAATGTAGCCACCTTGTGAGCTGAAGTCCCGACGAATGCCAAAAGCAGCGTAGGAGAACGGCACAAAGAAACTTCCTGGTCCGTCATGTGGCCGGGTCCGTTCTTGTCCACAGTGATCGGCTTGACCTGCTTGAGGTACTCCTCCGCATCCAGGTTGATCTCACCGTGTAGAATGCTGATCTGGCATCCGCAGTCGGTGATGGGGCTCTTCTCCGACAATTTCTTCCACTTGCCGAAGTCAAAGTTCTTGCGCACTTCCTCGGCCGCAGCATCTGCTTCAGGTTCATGAGCTTGAGCGCACATCACATCATCGACGTGCATGATGAGGATAATTCAGCGCGTAGTCGGCCTTGCCGTAGTACATGAAGCAACACTTGTCCAGTCTGTGGCACCTGAAGCCAATCTTCTCCACTCGGGATTTTGGCGCGTCCGCTAAGCCATATGCGCTTTTCAGCAGGCGCATGTAGAAAAGCTGCTCGAACGTCCAACAAACAACAGCCAGTCCAGGTTCTGCACAAAGCGCATGAGGAAGACCTTCCCAAGTCGCCCTGCCGTTGGCGCTGATTTCTCCAGCCCGATCAGGTCCGGGCACTGGTGTCCGCGCAGCACAAGCCGTGCCTTCGCCTTCGGACCATTCTCCGTGACCTTCCATGTCAGCACCCATCGTGTTGACACAATCCGCGACTCATCGCCCGGGCCGCCCGGGCTCACCTCCGCAAAGTTCCAGACCTTGTTGCGGAAGTAGTTCTCGAGCTCCTCCATCTTAGCCTGCATCATCTGGGCCTTCTATCAGCTGTCATCGCTTTCTCTGATGCTGGACCATCCACACATCCAAGAGCTTGTACTCGTGCCATCGACGAAGGTGATGTCGTCGATGATGTCATCATCGGCAATGTCTTCAGGTGCGGGCACGTCTGAAGGATCTGCGACACGGTGTCGCTTCTCTTCTCTCACGCCTTCAGGTTCAGGTCGATCATTCTCTTTTCTCTCACGCCCGTCTTCTGGTCCACCTGCTTCTCCACTGACTTCAGATGGTGGTGCTGGTTCTGGTTCACTGGATTCTCGCCGAGGTGTCCGCTCACGAGACATCGGTTCGGGTTGCTCACCTGCTTCTCCAGGTTCTTCCGGTTCATACTCCGCGTCGAGCTCCTCGATGTCATCTTCTTCTTCTCCCGGCAACTCCGGATGATAAACATCCTTGAACTGCGTGGCACTTCTCGCTCTCAGCTCCTGCAGGTCCTTCAGCGCTGCGGCGTTGGGGTCGGAGATCAAAGGAATTCCGGTGTCCTCAACGCGGGGCCGCACCTGATTCGCAGCGCACCTCAGCAGAGAGGTTCCATGTGCCAGCCAGATCACGGCATCGCGATCCTTGTTATCCTGCTCGACGGCCACCACTCTTGCCGGTCCACGCCACTTCTGCTTCTGCAAGATTCCGGCTCCCTTCTCCCGCCAGTAGTAGACAACCTGTCCAACCACCACCGTGTCCTTGATCTGCCGGTAGTTCTGGTTCATGGCCCGCCTGAGCTTGGCATCGCTGTCGGCGCGTGTGAACTGAGCTGCCAGCCGCTTCTTCTGCACATTGGCAAACTCTCCAGCTGCATCCAGGGCGTCAACTGTCGGGGTGAACAGGTCGGTGAGCGATTGTACTTGGTTGGGACTCCTCCCAATCACCCACTGAGTTGGCGTGAAGCCACGCGTCATGCTCATCGCGCCGGGACAAAGATCGAGGCTTGTAGCGGCCCTTTCTCCGTCTTGTTGTCAGCGTCCTCCATGAAGAGCTCCAGCGCCCTCCGAATAACCTGGTGCTTTCTCTCCAAGCCAATTGTGTGCCTCCGCCGGCGCAATCTCCAAGGCGATGTTCTTGTCGCTGGCCCAGTCCCGAAGCATCCGGCTAGCCCAGCCCTTCGCCTCATCAGTCCTCAAGGAGCGAGGAACTCCGAACTGCTTGATCCAGGCCCGCTCGATGCCCTTGATGAGCTCCTCCACACGCTCGGCCTTCAAGATGCGCACCGCCACATACCTCGTTGCTTGATCCAGGATGGTCAGCACACATTTCCGGCCCGTGTCGGTGTTGATCCACGCTGAGTCTACCACGATGCGATCGTTGAACTCTTTGGCCGTCAGCCCAGATGCGGGAGGCGCTCCACCAGGCTTAGTCCGAGCCACACAGCTTGGACAGAGGTAGTTCTTCGCCGCTTTCAGCACCGTGTCGGTCGCCTGCACCTCGTTAAGCATCTGACAAAGAACATCAGGGGCAGGATGACCAAGGTTCTTGTGTAGCCGCTTCACGTAGTTGAAGGCCTGTGCTCAAACTTCTGCTCGTAGCCGCCGATTCTTCTTGATCGACTCATCCTCTCTTGCCTGCTCATCATCGGCTTTGATCACGTCCTTCTCATCCTTGCATGAGCTCGTCAGCATCCTCTCCAACCATCACGTCATCTACCACCGGGACAACAGCCATCAGGTCTGCCAGCCTTTTCGCAAGCATCCGGGGGTAGTTGCCATCTTTGTCCTTGATCCATAGCCAGGGGCATGTCCTTCAAGTGGTTGGTGCTGGTGATCGCCACTGCACCATTTCGCAAGTCCATCTGCCAGACTTCTTGGTCGTGCAAAAGCAGGCACCATCACACCCAACTCATCTGGCGTCTTTAGACCGTACATGCGTTGGTCCATGTAGGCCATGTGTCCTGCCAGGTCACACCACGCCTTCGTCTTCCATGCTCTGCTCAGCCAGGGATGTTCCAGCGTTGCTTCTCGGGCATTCTGATACTGCTCCAAGTAGACCTCTCTCACAAACATCAGCACATTGTCATGGTTCTCGGTGCGATTCTTGACCAACTGCTGGTTCTCCCATTCACCACGGCAGGCGTATAGCTCTTGCATGGGCGACCACAATCGACACATCGGTGCCATCAAAATCTTGTCTGGCTCTTCCAGCTTCACCAGCTCCATGAACTTCTTCTGGCAGCCCTTGTCCTCGAAGTTCCAACCATTCTGAATCGAGAAGACCCTCGATTCCACACCGTTCATCTTGTCGAGGAACTTGCTGGTGCGGCCTTCGCCAACGAAGAGCTCCCAGATCTTACGGATCGGCTTGCCTTTCTCGCATGTCCTTGCCATCTTGTTCCTGCTGGACACAACCTCCTCGGCTTCTCTGATCATCTTCCGAAGCATCGGCGTAGTTAGCTTTTCCTCGTCTTCAATGATAAATTCTCGTCCATGCACACCCCAACAAACTTCACCTTCTTGGATTCCGCGTTCGTTGCCTTCTTGGTCACGGGGGTCTTCGGTTTCGGTGACTCCAAGCCACCGGCATCAAGCCCAACAGCATTTTGTTGGCTCGGCTCTTCTGACACCCCTTCATCCACGACGTCGTCCATGTCCATTCGAACGGTCCCTGGCTCGACCGCGTAAGACTCTTCCAGATTGTCGTCCTCATCCACCAGCAGCGCCTGCACTCCAAGGTTGCTCTTGAAGTCCACATGACCTTCGGCGCCTTCGGGGATGAGGTACTCCGCCACTTCCGCATCCTTCAGTTCCTTGATGTCCTCTGCAAGATGCAGCGAGTGTTCACCTTTCGGCGGGACCTTATCGCATGCCATTCACGATCCGGCCATCTCATCATGTTCTTACCGTACTCCACCGCGATGCCCATCTTCTCCAGTACGGGGCGTCCAACCAGGATGGGGGCTGTTCCACCAATGACGTAGACCAGCAACTTGCGTTTCTTCCCACCCATGTAGGTCGACACCACCACGCAGTGCCCGGACATCCAGGCAACTCAGGGGGGACGTGACGCTGCAATGCAGAGAGGAGAGAGAGGCTTGGGGGGAGCGGAGGGAGGGAGAGAGGACAACAGAACACACAAGGGAGACAGGGGAGAGATGAAGAAGGAGAAAAGGGAGAGGACACTGTCGGCGGAGTGAGCCGGAGGCTCTAAAGTTGCAGGTTGTTGATTTTCTCTATTTGGTGAGCAACGGACAAAACTACTTGTTTCACCCCCTGGAACCAGAGAGTGAATCAGGAGTTTTTCGGGCCCAGCCAACGTCTAGACATGTTCAGGGCGTTCCTCTTCGCTTTCACTGGGGGAACTCGTGTTCTTCTCTGCGATTCCAAGGCATTGGCTCACCTTATGTGGCACATCCAAAGATTCGAGTTCAAGAACTCCGATCATTTGGACAATTGTGTTGCCAGGAGCTGACAGTTGGAAGCCTTTTCCACGTCTTCGAGGCGCGCGTAAAAAAAACGACACCGCTACAAGAACTAGGGGTTCAAATGCAAACCCAAACCGATCCAAATCACCAATTGCGGGTTACCACTACCAGCGATGTTCCTCTTGGTTGGTCCCCGGGAAATGGAATGGACGCCGGTCTGGGAGCCGAGGATTGGGAGCCTCAAACCATTGTCATATGTTGGGGTAGACGTGGTGGACTGAATGTGATAAGCACAGAATCAGAAAGACCAGTTTTTCTGTAGTTTCTGTTTCGTGGCCTTATTGCATAGTTGGATCTGTCAAGACTGGGACTCATTTCAATTGATTGGTTTAAATGTAAAAACCGAAAGCAACTCGACCCAGGAAAGGTCCTTACCTCGTTCTTGGGGCTCTGAGAACCATGGAGGGTGGCGCTACGCTAGTTGCTTCACCCTCTCTAGGCAGTTGTTTTGTACTCGGGTAACTGGAGATCAGTGTATACATATATATATATATATTGGTATTTCGGTGGCCTGCGCTTTGGGACGGGCTTGTTGTTCCGGGCGCACTTTGGCATGTGCTATGTGTTGTTCGCAACGACTTAAAGCAGGCCTCCTTATGTCCCCTTTTTGGGAAAGGTTGTAGCTCGGTGATTGAAACGAATTGTTCCTTTTTACTGATGCAAAGTGTGGGCCTCGAGATCAAAACAGCTGCGCCCCTCATTTCGTTCGCACTTGTCGGTGCGGTGGCATGATCTGGAAACCTCGTGCGTTCTGGACTTCTTGAAGTTGGTAGCGGAGCCCGAGATTCGGGCGATCGCGAAGATTCTAAAGCCGCTGCAGGACTTCATACAACATCATCACAATGCTGCAGGGCAAGGCTTGGGGCCTCGTGGAAGACCTGGACATCACGTCCCTAGGTGAGGCTGATGGCTACAACAAGATGTTCGCTCACCTGGACAGCGGATTCAAGTACGACCCTATGACGGAGCTGCCATACGACTTTGAGAACTTCTTTGTCAAGCTCCAGCGGAGGCCAGAGCAGACCTTGCAGGAGTATTCGGCGGACTTCGCCAGACCTCATCGGAAGCTGAGGTCAACACAAGGTGGAGCTGCCGGAGAAGGTGCTGGCCTGGTGGTTCATCAGGAAGAGCGGAACAACGTCAGATGGTGCTCACAACCATGGGCACCGAGAAGCCAGGGGCCATGTTCTTTATCATCGGCCAGGACTCCAAGTCAGAGAATGTGGGAAGATGGAACCGAGTTCCCGAGATCTTTTACGCTGGTGAAAGCTGGGGCCCGGAAGAACCTGAGGATGAAGACTTCCCGAGCAACTACTTGGATGTGCACTTCCTGAGCGAGGAAGAGGGCTGGTTGGACTTCGACCAGGACTATTACGACCAACCGGCCGAGGACTACGGTGAGGCGGTGGAGGTCTACGACGTTGACGAGTAAGACGACGTGTGCTCGGCCTACGTTGATGCGAAGAACAAGATGAATCAGATGCGAACGGCCAGAGGATTCTTCCCCGTGGTCGCGATGATTGGCGGCGGCGGTGGCAGCCATGGCAAGAAGGATGGCCGCAAGGGCAGTGGAAAGAAGTTCAAGGGCCGACCCAAAGGGCCAGGGCCAGGAGGAGGAAAGGGCAAGCAGATGCCGAAGCCAGGGCCGAGCTCACCTTCTGGAAAGGCCCGTGGACGTGCTGCTCTTGGGAAACAACTGTGCCTTTGATGTGGCCAACCAGGACACGGGGCACGGAACTGTCCTCAGAGTGGCAACGGCGAGAAGCGGAAGCGGCTTGATGACGATGCCGAGGATATCAACATGGTCGAGAACGTGGATGCCCAGGTGTACAGCATGGATGAGCGGTGCAGGTGCTCTCCTCGGATCGAGGCACCAGGTGAAGAAGTACATCAAGTACCTGTATCCATGCACCAAAGGCATTTCGCTATGGCAATAGCCAGATGGAGGAGACCAACGACCCTGAACTGTCATCTCACTACTGGCTTTTTCTTGATTTCCCTTTCATGTCCTTTTCACGTTTCCCATGATGTCCTGGTCATGTCCCTTCCATTCCTTTCAACTCCCCCTTCATGTCCCTGTCATTTTCTAGGTATGTCCGCTTCATTGTCCATGTATGTATGTATGTATGTATGTCTGTTGTCTGTTTGTCTGTTTGTCTGTCTGTCTGTCTGTCTGTCTGTCTGTCTCTCTGTCTCTCTCTGTGTCTGTCTGTCTGTCTGTCTGTCTGTCTGACTGTCTGTCTGTCTGTCTGTCTGTCTGTCTGCCTGTCTGTCTGTCTGTCTGTCTGTCTGTCTGTCTGTCTGTCTGTCTGTCTCTGTCTGTCTGTTGTCTGTATGTATGTATGTATGTATGTATGTATGTATGTATGTATGTATGTATGTATGTATGTATGTATGTATGTATGTATGTATGTATGTATGTATGTATGTATGTATGTATGTATGTATGTATGTATGTATGTATGTATGTATGTAATGTATGTAATGTAATGTAATGTATGTGTATGTATGTAATGTATGTATGTATGTATGTATGTATGTATG